GTGTCTGGAAGTCTGAGGTCCAAAACAAAACAAAATCTAGTCTGTTTCTTTTCTTGTAAATGATCCTATGGATTGATGTTAGGAATATACAAGGAGATGGTTCTTGTAATTTTAGATTCATGATTTCTATATTATTATTAATATAAATGAATCAATGACTAGAACCAATAAACAAATACATAACTAAGTAAAAACAAGGATGAACCCTTATCAACTATGAATATATGTGGTCAGGCAAGAAATAATATAAACTGAAGAAATAATACATTTTGAGAAATAAATGGACCACCTCCTTTGTATTACGTCTTTTTCTAAGGAATCATATCATTATATTTATATTTATGTCTGTACCAGGGGTGCCAAAAAAATGTATACAAACGGACACTTTGGTCAACGTTGCTCAAGCAGTAGTTTGCTGTAATCAGAAGTGTCTGGATGTTGATGGTAACCACTGTGAGCACCTCTTATAATTGCAGAAGTCAAATATGACTTGTATTCATCTTTTGTTACTGGTATATATTGAGTATTACAATTTTAATACAGTTTTCCTTTCTTAAAATGTGTATACATTTTTTGGCACCCTCTGTATATATGTATAAATTATGAAAAGTAATATCTTTATGACTGAGTAAAAGAAATGAAGAAAAACAGGACAAATTTAGAGACGGTCTCAGTTTTTTTATTTTCTGTTCTATTCTGTACTCCTCAGAATGGACGAACTTGAGCTGCTTTAAGCATCAATCATGGTCACGTGTTCTCTTGTTACCTCTGTGTGATAAGCAGAGAGACCAAGGTGAGTAATACATTGAACAAACTTTGTGTCTTTGTTTGAGAGTTTTTTTCAAGCATTTACTGTATTGTTAAAGAGTGTGAAATATAAACCAACCATCATGAATGATAGATATAGGATTGGTCTGAAGCATTATATTTATTAATCCATATATGAAACATTGATGATAATTAACAAAAGCTATACATCAGTGTGGCAAATGATCATATAGGCAGATATAGAACATTGATTGCTCTTATTCTTGGGTTTTTATGAATATACAGTTTTAAAATTAATATTAATGAATCAATGAATTCATCAATGAATTTAGGCAGATCAGAATGAAGAAAAAGATGAACATTTATTGAAAATACTGAAGTTCATCAAGTTGTCGTCTTAGATTGGGTCATTTATTTAAAACTATTCATTGAGTTATAAAAAAGTATTAAGCATAATAACAAATTAACCATGGCCCAATGGTAAATAGGACACAAAACATTATGTTGATTAGTCAATAATGTGCAACATTGTGGTCGATTAATGCTACATCACAATGCCCGTGTCATTCACCTCCTTCATCTCATCACGTAGGCATTGTAACAGCTCGCAGCATCCTAAGAGGAAGGGTGAGGACAGTGCAATAAAATATTTTGAGAGCGAGAGACCACATTCTACAGTAGTCTCTCTGTATAATATAATTATATTACTATAATGTTGTATTTTATAATTAGTTATTGTTGTTAGCCTCTTACTATGCCTAATTTATAAATTACACTTTATAAGAAAAACATAGTTTATGGAGGGTTTGGTACTATGCATGGTTTCAGGCATTCACTGGGGGTCTTGAAACATATTCCTCACAGGTAAGGGGGGACTATTATATAAATAAATAGATAAAAAAAAGAGTGGAGCATTGTCTAGCTGTGAATATATGTGGTAAGGCAAGAATTATTCCTATAAATTGAAACTACTAATTCAGTTACTAAAAATTGAAAACAGTGATGTCCTTTAAGAAATGAATGCATCAAGAGTGTCAACTCTTTGGCTAAGGATCATACGAACTCTGATAAGTAAGTGTCAATTTTATTGTCCAGGTCAGTTTCAAATTTGAGCTTGTTCCTTTTGTCGAGATAAAAAATAATACCTACATTATGAAAATGAAGAAATACCAAAATGACTTAAATGAAATGTAGAGAGGAAGAAGCAGTGCAGATTTAATTTTTCTAACTGTCAGCTTTGCTTTCTGTTCCTTAGACTGAAGCTGACTAAGGAATTATTTCACGGGCGCCATCTCTGTGTCTTAGGAGCATAAAGATCAATGTGAGAAATAAAGTTCATGTCTTCATTTGACAGGTGTTTAAAAGAACGTATTTACTGTATTATTGAAAGTATGACTATCATTCAAAAAGCCAACCGTGGCCAATGATAAATATGGGACTATTACGAGGCATTGCATTTATGAATCCATTTATGATAGATTAAGGATAATTTGTATATCAATATGATAACTGGTTCTTTAGATAGATGTAGAATATTTAGGATTCTTATTTTTTATTTCTTTATGGGTCATAGGGTTTTTAAAATTAATACTAGAGAACTAAGGAGTTAATTAATGCAGTAATGTGCAGGAGGATGAAGACAAAGAGGCCAAAATGTGCACCAGTGATGATGGCTGGTGGTGTAGGAGTGAGTCATGGATGATGAAAATTACATGTGACACTCTCAGGTCTGACACAAAAAGAAATATATTCTACTCTGAGCAACAGGGGTTCGAGTCCAGCCCGAGCTGAGCAGCTGCTGAACTGCCAATAGGTAGTAGGATGGCTCAGCTGGAAAAAAAAAAGAAATATATTCTATTGCCTCTGCTTGAAGTGATTCTATAGACAGATGTTTGGACTGTAAAGGGACTGTCTTCTTAGATAGTTTCATGGATCTTGATTCTTTTCTTCTAAATGGATCAATTTAAGAATCAGTATACAGATATAAAAAAAGTAGAGACACAGAGCATGAAGTATATGCCCTCTTAGTATAGGTGGTGAGGCAATAAAAGCTGTTTGAACGGGTTGAAAATACTGAATGCCATTAAGAAAAATAACAGTTCCAGTGCCTCACCTCTTAGAGGAGTTCTTATTCTGGGTCAGTAGCAAGTATGATATTATTATTATTATTATTTTTTAATTTATTTTTTTTATTGTTAGTTTCAGGTGTACAGAACAATACAATAGTTACCCTTTTTTCACCCTAATATTATTCATTTTTAAAGAAAATATTAATAAGTATTATCCCACATCAATGTATTTACTAAACGATTGACTACATGTAAGATGGAGATGCTGTCTGAGTCTTACTGTCTGCTTTGCTTTGTCCTTCTCAGAACGCAAACACTGGAAGGAATTAAGCCTCTGTAGAGTTCAGGAGCATCATGGGAATCTCTCTGTGTAGGGGCATGAAGGCCAGTGAGTAATAAGTAGCGTTTTTGTCTCAGTTTGGGTGGCTTGTTTAGAGTATCACTGTAGTAATTTGAAAAGTATTAAATAGAAGAAAAAAAGACCAACCATGGTCCAATGATTAAGTAGGAAATGTATGAAACATTATGTTGATTTATGTATGTTGGGAATAATGAGGATGATTAATGAAAGAGGTATAATCAATTAGGCATTGATTCTAAAGAGGATGATAGGGACCCTGAAGGCTCTTGTCCTTGAGCTTTTGTGATTCATAGATCTGTATTTAATTATTAGTAGATTGATGAATTAATGTGTAAACAGTATAGGTGAGAATGAAGAAAAAGAGGCCCAAACCTGGACCAGTGATGATGACTGATGGCGTATGAGTCATATACGATGAATGCTACGTGTCTGGAAGTCTGAGGTCCAAAACAAAACANTTGCTACTGTTATGAATCGTAATGTAAGTATCTTTTTGTTTTCTGATGGTCTTAGGCGACCCCTGTGAAAGGGTCGTTCGACCCCCAAAGGGGTCGCGACTCACAGGTTGAGAACCGCTGCTATAGACATATGTTAAGAATATATGAGGATCGTGTTCTTGGTCTGTCCTCATAAATTCCAAATAGTTTTACAATTGGATATGCTAAAATAATAAAAAGAATCTAAATAAATATAAATAAGTAAGACATTGTCCAATTATGAAAAAATGTCATGAAGTAAGAGAATCTGTTTATATGTTAAAAACATTGAGTTGATTAAAAAAGACATGGTTCAAAGTGTTACTTTGGCTGATGATTATATAGAAAGTACAAGTAATAACCATTGTTCCTGTTCTGGCTCAGTGACAAGCCTGATGTTTATTTTTTTAAGAGAAACATGAATAAATATTACCCCAAATTAATAAATACCTAAATTACTGACTTAATTACTGACTTAATAAAAGGTGAAATGCAAGCATTAATGTAGAGAATGTCTTAGTTTCTTAGTTTTTTTTTTTCCATCTCCTCTGCTTTGTTCTTCTCAGAGTGGGCACACTAAGCTGATTTAAGCATCTTGCATGGTCATGAGCTCTCTATGTAGGAGAATGGAGACTGGTGTGAGTAATAATCAAAGTTCTTGTTTTGTTTTGAGTAGTTTGTTTAGGACATGAACTCTATATTTAAAAATAATTTCATATAATAAAAAAGGCCAACCATGGCCCCATGTCACATTTGGAATTGACTATGAAACATAGAATAATTAATATTTGCGGCAATGTAGATGATTAATGAAATACATATTCAATGAGGCAAATGATTCTATAGATAGATGTTAGAGATACTTTAGGAGTCTTATTTTCAAGTGTTTTTGATTCATAGATATTTATCTTATAGTTATTACTTTGTTGACAAGTTAATCAGTAAAGAAATGTAGAAGTGATTGAAGACAAAGAGGGGTGAGCCTGGACCAGTGATGACGACTGGTGGCGTCTGAGTCATGAATGATGAATACTATGTGTCGGGAACTCTGAGGTCCAACACCATAAGAAATCTAGTCTATTTCCTCTGTTGGGAAACACCATTTTGACAGATGTTAGTAACATACAAGGATCATGTTTTTGGTTTTCGTATTCGTGGATATTGATTATATTAGTATAAATAGATCAGTGAAAGAATTAAACAAATAAAAGTAAATGCGAAAAAGTGAAGAGCAGTAAATTATGATAGTTAATAAATATTTAAGTGGCTGAATGTATTAAATGCAGAAAGTGAAATGAGTGTAGAAAATGTCTCAATTTTTTTTTTATCACCTTCTTTATTTTGTGCTTCTCAGAATGGATGCCCTGGAGCTCACTTAAGGATTCTTCCATGGTCACAAGCTGTCTGGCTGGCTCTGTGTTTGGCATATAGAAACAAATGTGAGTTTTGTGGATATACACTTTGTATTGTTTCAATTGAAATTTATTGGGGTGACAATGGATAGTAAAAAGTAAAATTACATGGGTTTCAAGTGTACAATTCTGTAATACATCATCTGTATATCACATTGTGTGTTCATCAACCAAAGTCAGTTCTCCTTCCATCACCATGTATTTGACCCCCTCTACCCTCTTCTTATCTTCCCCCCTACCCCCTACACTTTGATTTTTTAAGTGTGAAATGTAATCAAAGAAAGCCAGCCATGCTCCATTGATAAATATGGAATTTATGTAACATGATATTGATGAGTTCCTATTTGAAACTTGGAGGGTGATTAAGGAAAGAGATATAAGGATGTAGCAAATGATTCTCTAGACCAGCAGTTCCCAACCTGTGGGTCACGACCCCTTTGGGGGTCGAACGACCCTTTCACAGGGGTCACCTAAGACCATTGGAAACAAAAAGATATTTACATGACGATTCATAACAGTAGCAAAATTAGAGTTATAGAGCAGCAACGAAAATAATTTTATGGTTGGGGGTCATCACAACATGAGGAACTGTATTAAGGGGTCACGGCATTAGGAAGGTTGAGAACCGCTGCTCTAGACAGATGTAGGACTGACTATTCGAGGCTCCTATTTTAAGCTGTGTTGTGCTTCACAGGTATTTATTTTATTAGTATCAAATAAATTGATGAATTAATTAGTAAGCAAAGGTAGATGAGAGTTGGGGGAAAATGCCAAACCTAGACCAATGATGACTACTGGTGGCATTTGAGTCATGAGTGATGAATAATGTGTGTGGAACTCTGAGGTCCAGCATAAAAAAAAAAATCTAGTGTATTACCTCAGTTGGAAATGATTTTACAGACAGATTTAGGATTTTACAAGGATGTTGTTCATGGATTTTGATTTTATTGTGATAAACGAATCAGTAAAAGAATTAATTTATAAATATAAATAAATAAAGATGAAAAGGGTGAAGCATTGCCCACTTATGAAAACAGTGAAGTAAGGCCAGAGATAGTATTAATAAATATTGAAAAGCTAAGTCTTTAAATGGTTCAAGGGTGTTACCTCTACTAAGGATGTTATAGATAATGTAAATAATGGCTAATATTCTTGTTCAGGGTTAGTATAAAATTTAATGTTGTTTGTCTTTCTTAAGAGTAAATATATATTACCCCCAATTAATATGTAAATTAATAACTGAGCAATGAAATATATTGCAAGGATCAATAGAGAAAATACCTTAATCATGTTATCATGTATGCTGCTTTCTACTTTTTAGAATGGGCCCACCCAGGCTGAGTTCAACCTTATGCCTTGGTCAGTGGTCTCTGTGTTTGTCTGCAGGAGCATGGAATCCAACGTGAGTAATAGTCAATGTTCTCATCTTACTTTGGGTGGTTTGTTTAGGGTAATATTTTTAAAAAAGTATTTAATATAAGAAAACAGACCAACCAGGTCCAATGATGAAATTGGAAATATATGAAACATTTTGTTGACAAATCTATTTTTGGAATAATGAGGATGATTAATAAATTTCAATTAGTAAGGATTGTAAAGAAAATGATAAAGATACTGAAGGCAGACTGATGAATTAATGTGGAAACAAATATAGGTGAGAATGAAGCAAAAAAGGCCCAAACCTGGACCAGTGATGATGACTGATGGCGTATGAGTCATATACGATGAATGCTACGTGTCTGGAAGTCTGAGGTCCAAAACAAAACA